AGATGCCCGGGAAAAATCTTTTTTTTTGCCTGTTCCAGTTTCTAGAGGCTGCCACATCCCCAGCTCATAGCCCCTTCCTCCAGCTCCCAAGCCAGCAGTGTATTCTTCACATCTCTTCTCTCTCTCTCTCTCTCTCTCTCTCTCTCTCTCTTTCTCTCTCTCGCTCTCCTACTTCCATCCCTACATCTCCTCTCACTCTGGCCCACCTGCCTCCCTCTTTCCCACCCAGGTAATGTAGGATAATCTCCCACCTCAGATTCCTTAACATCATCACATCTACAACATTGCTGGGGCCACACAACAAGACATGTTCCAGGGACTGGTGCACTGCCCTACTTGAGGGCCCTTATTTAGTGATAGCAGCTTTATTTAAGATTCCTTGGAAAATGAGAAACTTGCAAAGTCATCTATGCACTCCTCCCCCATACTCTGTGTCCTGCCCAGTCCAATCTGGGTCACCCTGTGGCCTTCTCAGTCCAGGCTGAGCCCTTCATTCTTCCCTGGGCTCTGGTGGCCTCTTGTTCCCCTGGTATTACCAGAAGGGACTGTGATTTTGGCCACAGTGAAAGGACATTTTCTTTCCACCAGCCCCTGCCGAGTGCTTGCTGGGTCTTACCCCTCTATCATTTAACTGCCCTTAGAGTACTACTTAGCCATAAAATAAAATAAAATAAAATAAAATAAAATAAAATAAAATAAAATAAAATAAAATAAATTCTGGCTTTTGATAGAAAGTGGATGAATATGGAAGATTTATTGTTGAGTGAAGTAAGCCAGGCTATGAAGGAGAGGCATTGTATGTCTCCACTTAATATATACTATCTGCACTCTATGGTGGAAACTGAAAGACTAGAGGATATAAAGCATGGAAAATGGTTACAGATACTGGATACAGTGAGGGAAGAGAATATGAGGAAGATATTAAGGAGAAAAATAGACATGACGCTTATGAGACACAGAAATGGATTATTATCTGTTGCTGATAATGTGTATCGTATACTCAACTGGACTGGTGTAAAGTGTATTCATGTTGGGAGAATTCACTTTATAACCTAAGTGATGTATAGTGATTGAATGTATAAAAGAAATTAAAATAAAATTAAAAATAGAGAAATAGTCTATGAACAGCCTCAGTCACTGTGGCCCAGAAACTCTAAGTGACCTGTCCAAGGCCACAGCAGGGAACCTAAGTCAGGCCCACCTGTATCCAGACCTCAGCTCCTGCCCCAGATGCCCAGGCTCCCTCAGTCATCCTGGACAGGCCCTCTTACTTTGTCCAAATTCCTCCCTGGAGATCTCAGGGCCCACTAGACCCAGAGCCCCACTCCCAGATTCATGGCCTGAGGGCACAGTTATTGGAACCAAAGAGGGACTGGGACCCAAGTTCCACATTCTCCTTTTCCTTCCTCTGCATCAAAAATCAGACTCAGGCCACACAGTGACTTGGCAGTTAAGGGAGCCAGATCCCACATAGCCAACCAGGTATTTCAAATCCTGACTTCAGCAGCTTGAAAAACACACCAGGCATGTGTTCATGCATGCCCCAAATTCCAACAGGATTGAGAAATGATGAAGAGACTGCAACATGACCACATCCCACTGGGGAGGGAGGGAGGGCAATGCTTTCTCCCTCTCTCTCTCTCTCTCTCTCTCTCTCTCTCTCTCTCTCTCTCTCTCTCTCTCTCTCTGGTGAGCACCCATGCCTTACTTTTTTTTTTTTTTAAATCAGTGTCAGGGCAGAGGGAGAGGGCTGTGAGAGGGTCCTATTTTCCTGGAGACCTACCCTTGTCCCCCACCCTGAGGTAGCTCCTCCTGTTTAATCCCTCTACTCCTTTCTCCCAGTTGCTTCCTTAGTATCCAAGAATTCTCAGCAACATCTTCATTGGGGTGCTCTTCCTTGGGGAGAACACATGAAGCTCTGGGTCTGGGGGCTAAGAAAAGGGGAGATTCTCCTGTCTGAGGTAGAGTCAGCACTGAACACTCAGTGGGTTCTCACAGGACAGGGATGAGTGACAGCTGAGGAATGGGAGGTGTGAAATTCCAGGGAACAGGCTAGGGTAGCACCTGCCCATCCTGGAGAACGCCAGGCCAATCCCTGACTCCCCTTCTCCCCTACTAACCCCCCAGCTCCACAGGGCACTGAGCCCCCTACCCCAACCCCACCAGGTCCCAGACCACCAACCAGCTAGCAGCAATTTCCCAGGTGCCATGTGCAGGGTCTTGCTTGGTCCCAGGGCCCAGACATGGGGACCCTGCCCAGGCCCAGCTCTGCAGTCAAAGCTGCCGTCCTCTCCACCTGGTCCAACACAGCCT